GTCGATAGCTAGGCCTAGATTTATCTAAATACGTCTATGTCTGTCACACAGACTTGCTTATTTACTCGCTGGCAGCTTCTGCCTGCTTGTTCCCTCTGATTCTCATCTTCCGCTCCCTCGACTCCGGACCAGCTCTCTGCTCTCAGCTCTCCTTTCCCTCTTACTTTGCCTATTCTTTCCCTCCTTTCCCCTCTTCCCCTCTTCCCCTCTACCCCTCCTTCTCTCCTCTATCCCTACTCTTCCTTCATTTCTCATTCTCTTCTCTCTTCTGCTCTTCTCGAGCTCCTCTCCCTCTTCTCCCTCTTCTCCCTCCTGTTCTCCATCCTTCTCTATGCACTACCCACCTTCTCCTCGATTCTCCTTCTTACGCTGACATTTACTCCGGCAAATGGCCGATTTAACGCTCTCTCTCGCTTCTCACACTATGTGTACTCCCTTTCTACCTCATTGGAGCTACCTGGTAATCCACTCGGTCGCCACAGCCTCGGTTGCCTCTGGTCGTTAATGCCTCTTCAGTGCTATGCGGACATCCGGTACGTTGACTTGCCACCTTTGTTTCATTTACCACTTGGTGCTTTGCGACCATCCGCCAGGCGGACTCATACTTCACTAACAATATCCAGGAGAGAGGATCAGGGCATCCTAGCGCACATTTCATGTCAAAAGCTGGTATAATTGACTCGCGGGGCTCTCTTTCATCGTACCTACTGCTTTTTTAATTCTCTTTTTAACTAATGCCAATGTGCAACCCACGCACTTCACACTGGCGCCAGACGCTCGTGCCTCCTGCTAATCTTTTGCCAGGCGAGTTGCCTGTTTTGCATATTTTAGTTTCGTTTCTTCACCCAATTTCTGCTTCTTTAGTTCGTCACTTTACTTTGGGGTTTGTAAAATGTAAGCTACCAAGACGCCAACACCCAATCGCATGGTTGCACTAACCTCGATCCTTTCCATCGGTTGTCAGGATTTGTGCTTCTCAACTTCAATCGTCTAAATAATCGGTTTTAGTTTTTCACTTAAGTATGGTCGCTCGTCACTTCTCGTTACTTAATTCGTCTATAATGCCAATCTCGGGTACCTTTTTGCACATTGTGTCCTCGTTA